ACATAAAGATACTTGTATAAATGAAAATTTTCAAGTTAATAAGTTTAAAATCTCATGATTTTCATGTATTTATGCAACAACTTCTACCAGTGACTATCTGTGGGGTTATGTTGAAGTCGAATCGATATATTTCTCTAGTTCGAAAGATAAGAATTTTGTATTGGCAACTACCATGTTTTATGGTGTCAATGATGAGATTTGGGAGATTGATTATGTTATTTTAAAGTGGATTTATTTAAATGCAAGTGGGTTCCTGAAGCTATCGGCAAAAAACACAGAGCCTCCATCGAACTTTATTTATTCCGAAGGAAGGGGAAATATCGATAAAACCACAAGAGGATGGATAAGATGGTCTTGCAACCAAGAGAAAGGGTAAGGGAGTCGGTTATACGAGGGGAAGGTATTAGCACCCCTCACATCCATTGTACTCAACGGGATCCGTTTTGTTTGTTTGTCTCTAAGGGTGTATTTATCTACAACTATATTTTCTTAAGGGGAAAGAAAAGGTTTTTTATTATTGCGTTCGTGAGGGTTTCGTGACCTTTTTCCTGTGTATCCAGTGAAGGAATCAGAACATTATAGTTCCTCTAGAAAATGTTGGTTTATTTGTGTTTTTTAGTGGGCGATGTTAACGCGCGCATTCTAGCAATAGCCATGGTTGGTATCGCGGTAGAACAAAGATAACATGCCCTTTGGGGGAGTTTTGATTGGTTGAGTGTTTTTCAAAGTTTTAAAATAAATTCAAGTAATGATTAAGTGTTTTTGGATTTTTGATTTGTGAATGATGAGTTTTAATTACAAAAGAAAAAGAAAAAAAGGTTAAGAGGGAGACTAGAAAAGCCCTAATGTTGTCATGCATGAGTTTCAAACTAAGGTCTAATTAGTTCACATCTTGAAGAAGAGAAAACTAACATCCTAAGGGAGCATGTTATAAGCATAAAGTAAAAGTGAAAGTGTTTGTGAAGAGTGATCGTGCACGGTGGACATGGCAAAAGTGACGATAAAATGAGTAGTATTATGAGAGGTGTGAATGAAATGCTCGGTGTATGGGAATTGAATCGGGTTATGATTAACCAAGCGGTGTACTTGATTAATCTCGTGAGAGTAGGTGCTCCTTCTCTCAACCATGAGACCCTTTGTGCATGGAAACACTTGGTATATGGACCAAAGTGGTTGATTCAGGTTATGGTTAACCAAGGGCAAAACTTGATTAACCTCGTGAAAATGGCCATGCCCAAACTCAACTATGAGACCCTTTAAGAAGATGCTTGGTATGTGGACCAAGGGGAAGATAAATGACTTCAATAGATAAGATAAAAACTCATACAAAGTGGCTATATGCATGCTCATAGAAAGTGGGACTAGTATTCTAAATGACCAATTGAAACAATCGATCGAATAGTTATCACCGTAAGAAAGCCCAGGACCAAGCTATGAAATGTGTGCCAGTGTGAATTTGTAAGAGAATACCTATTCATTGAGGATGAGCCCAAGAGGAGGCCATGTGTTCTAATTGAATGACATATGCATAATCAAATAACAATTAAAACATACAAAGAAATAAATCCTAAGCTATTACAATCATATGGGGATGGGGGTACAAGTTTATAAATGGGTATGAAGTAAAAAAAAAACCTAATTAAATTATTACAATCATATTGAATAAAAGAGTAACAATGAGAAAAATATATTTAAAAAATGTAAAACAGTGTAAAAAGAAAGGAAAAAATATTTTTTAACCATTATGAGTCGACATATGCATCTATGCATCGACACATAATCCTTCTTGTTCCTGGAAAATTAAAATTAACTTAGTATGAGTCGATACATAATGGTATGTGTCGACTCATACACCTTTCTTGCCCCTGAAAATAAAAAATAACGCAGTATGAGTCGACACATAAGATTTTGTGTCGATTCATACACCTTTCTTGCCCTTGGAAATAAAAATAATGCAGTATGATTTGACACATAAGGGTCTTGTGTTGACTCATAACCTGTTTTATGCCTGAAAAATAAAAAATAACGCAGTATGAGTCGACACATCAGGGTTTTGTATCGACTCATAACCAGTTTTGTGCCTGATATGCATCGACTCATAGAGACATGTGTCGACTCATACTGTTGATTTCTGTTTCTAACTTTTCTCTACTACATATAAAAGTCAATTCCCAATATATAATTGATAAAAATGAAAACCTAGCAAATGAGGGTTAGCTTCAAGAGTATGATATCTACATTTATCTTCAAGAATGAATCATTAATGATGCTTTAAATGATGAAATCAAAGTCCAAAAGACTTACCTCAAGATTGAAGTTTGTGTTATGAGTTTGAACACCTTTCTAGGGGCTGTGAGGGTCAGAATGGCTTCAGTGAACCTCCATGAAGTTGCTCCACTCCTTACTTTGTATTGAGAGTTGCAAGGTTGTACAGTACTGTTTTTTATTGTTTGTGTTTGGAGGGTGATGAGGATGGTATCATAGAAATTGTTCTTGTGTTTGAATAATCTCTATGTGAGGTATTTGAATGGTTGGTTGAGGGGAAAGCTTACAAGGTTGTACAATGGTTTGAAGGTTTTTTCAGTTTCTGTTTTCTTTGGGTTGCTGCTATTTTCCTTTCTGGTTTGACAATGTTTTCACTCTTCCCTTAATCTTTTTCTCTACTGTCTTTTTTTCTCAATATTGCTCTGCTTCTTCCCTTTTCTCATCCAACTCTCCTCTTTTATTGATTGCCCATTCTATTGTTTTGTACAACAACTGAGAGGTGAAATTGGTGGGAATGGTTGGTGGGTTTTTGAACACTTTTGACATGTTGCTTCTCTACTTTTCCATTATAGATTTAGGTGCCTTCTATTTTGTGTAAAGTTTGTCATTTTTTGGCAGCAGCTTTGACATTTTTAGCAAACTATCCTTGCAGGTTTTTGGACTATTTTGTTTGTTTTGCAATGTGATGCAAGTTTATGGAGCTATATTATATAATGGACGGCATGGTTAGGTTTTTGCAGCAGAATGGACTGCATTAGTTTGGACAGTTTTTTGGGGCTGATTGGTGCAAACTTTGGGATTGTTTTGTGAGGTTGGTTTTGGGCTTGTAATGAGGAATTCCTTTGTATGATCTCAAATTGTCATGACATGAATAAAAATTGCAAGATAACCAAATGACTTAAATCTTGAATATAGTAACTTGTGATGTAAGAAATTGGTGATTTGTGAACCAAAGACATTGTATAAAATACTAATTTCCATTATTTCCAATTTGCAATTCAAGTTTTTTTTCTCTTTCAATAACAAATTCAAACCACTTTGAAAATGATAGATGCCATCTTAGTTCAAAATTTAGTCCCTCAAGAAACTCCTCAAATAAGATTTTAATCCATATGAGAAGAATTCCTTGGTTTCACCCCCTTAAACCTCTTGATAAGCAATTGACTTGTAAAAGAAGATAAAGCTAATTACGACCTTGAGGCAAAAAAATCCTAGCTTCCTGAAAACACTGTGAAACTATAATATTGCACAACCACTGAACTCTTGGACCTCAGATGTCTTTATTCAATGAAATGGAGATATGCAAATGATCTAGTGAAGATGATGTAAATGAAATGCGAAGCCTAAGTCAGACAAAAGTAAAACAGGTAAGACAAATTTGGGGTATGACAGTTCCCAATAATAACAAGGGTGTGCACATTGATAACTTAAGATTCACCTGAGTCGACCTTGACAAGGCATCTTTTATGACCGAACCATTCATCATGGCTTCTCAAGCAAAACAAATTTCTATGTTACCAATCCATCAGACATATCAGAAAAATGGTCAATCGTTCTCCAATGAAAACACATTCCTCTTAGTGATGAAAGTTTTGATATTTCGTCCACACCTTCTTACACAACACAAGTTCCTACCTCATATGATGAAGTTGATGGAGATGTTGTCTATACTATTCGAATCGATCATGAAGAAGGCATTTGGGAAAATTAACAAATACGTAATTTATTCTTTATTCATAATATATTCATGTATGTTATAGTTTTCAAGTATTTTTACTAACAAGTATAATTATTTTAAATTACAAGTCTTTAGAGTCAAGACATCAAGAGACAGGACACAGAAACACCAAGAAACAAGTATAATTTCTTTACGTTGGAAATAACAATTTATTTTTTAAAATATATATATATATTTTTAACCGTTGGTAATTGAAATTTTCATAATTGTGGAAGTTTGAATGTGTGAGACAACGGCTTATCACTTTTATAATGAGTAAAATAACATAATTGAACTAGATATTCGTTGAGAATATGCAAATAAAAGCAAAAAAAATAATGAAGTTTTGAATTAAAAAATATTCGCATGCTTCAAATACGATACACAATGTTGTGACAAAAGACTTCAAACAAAATGGAATGCCAAGAGAGTATGGTTATTTCATTTGATCAGAAGATAGATAAATATAAGAAAGTTGATTTTGTAGCTCAACATAACCATATTCCCCAACCAACCATTAGAGTATGCTCATATAATTTGCTCTCGTCGACGCATATTGAAAGCACAAGCCTCGTAATGTATTGGAAGATGAATCTAAATTAAGACTATAAAAAATTGAATAAATACTATATGTTTAAGTAAGTTATTGGGATAAGACCAACGATTTTAAAAGACGATATCATAAGAATTACATTTCAAATCCCAACCCACGTTTTGCCAAAATATAGTTGAAAATTCCTTGTAAGCAAAAGGGAATTGAAATGGATTTTTATTTAAGTGCTAATAATCGAAAGCATGAACTGAATTAATGGTAATATACATAATAATCAAACCAGCTGAAATATCATGAAATTTGTAAAGTCGATTCATCATAAGCAAATCCTTGTCCCAATTATTCAACCTAATCTCCCTGCATTATCATGGATGCAAGATTAACGATATAATCAAAATACATTTATATATTAGAAACAATTTACTATAGTTACATATAATTAGAGTAACTAACTCACAATTCATTTCAACCAGATGTGCATGCTGGTCTTCTTGGGGGAAGTTGTTGATGTGGAGTTTTCTGTTTTAAAAAAAAAAACAGAAGAAAAATGGATTAATGCACACAAAATATAAATAAATAAATATTCATAATTTTTTTAAAAAAAAAGTAATAATAATATTTATATAAAAAGATGTACCTGTAGTTTTGGTCGCAGGGTCTCAACTGCTGCAGTAGATTGTTGACTCACTCCAGCACCTTGCTGTTGAGATTAATTTCCAATAAATAATCATTTTGAAAAATAAACATATTGTGCAATATATTTTAATATTTAATATAAAACATAAATTATAAATTAAAGTATACCTTGCATAATGCCCAGTCTGCTGAATCAAAAAATGCCCTTTCATTATCCTTTTTTAGCACAAAAATAAAATAATAATAATAATTAGATTTAGTGGAACTTTTAACAAGAAAGTAAAATAGATGAATAATTATGATCTTACTTTGGAAATCAAAGGCTTTTTCTTTGGGACAAGCCCACCATATTTCTTGCCCCCAGATGTTGACTGGTTTTCAAAAAATAAATTGTTATTTCCAACATAAAGAAATTAAAAAAAAAAACATATTTTAATTATTTATATTATAAATTTATGGCCAAACTTCACCAACCACAAAATAATTTGACTAGTTCTAGAGTTAACCTAATTTGAACCTAACTACTTTTGATTTCTTCAAATCAAACTCAAAAGAATATGTCACATAAAATTATAATGCAATCAAGAAAGAAAAGCATAGTGAGAATATTCTAGAAGATCCAAAAAAAATTTGTTGAAGAAAAAAGCAAGAACTAATTATTGGCATGGGAATCTCATGTTGGGGAGAAATAAGGTTCACATGAATTGCTTTACAGCCCAATGGCCAGTTAGGCTTATTTTGTTTTGCATACTGATTTTTGTTTTGTTAACTTTGTTGTGACATCCTCCTAAGGTAGGTCCTCCTTTAAAATCTTCTTAACCGACAATTTATTTCTCTCACCAAAAATATCTTCATTTTAAAATCTTTAAATAGTGTCTAAAAGATTTAACACAACGGTATTTTCCATGTTATAATTTGAATATTCTCAACTAAATTAACACAATATTCTACTATTTAGAAAGCCTAAAACATTTATCATAGATACAATGAAAGTACTAGGTACATGGTACCAACATTATGAAAATGTAGTACATTGGTACAAGAAATGTACACACAATTGGAATTCAAAACGTGCACTTATGTTGTTTCCTTTAAATTTTGGTTTCTAGACAAAAACAAATACAAAGTGAAACTCACAAATGAGATTCTAGATTCAAATTCAAATAATAATTATAATAATCAAACTCTCATAATTCAACATTACTAATATTTTCACCTAAGCGTAATACGAGTCAATAGTTTTCACATATTATTATCAGTAGTATATTTAATGAATATATAAGTTTAAAAAATAATAATATAAAAATTATTTAATATGTGTATGATAAGATTAATAATTAAAAATAAATAAAAGGTTGAGGTAAGATTATGCACCTCAACGTCATTGGCAACGAAATAATCTTCTCTGTTACACTCTGCCATCTCTCTTTACCTATTCAACAAAAACAAATTGATATATCACACAGATCAAAACATTCCACTAAAAACAAAAATAATAAATAAATAAATAAATAAATATTCCAATTGATAAAAAAATTAAGAAAAAACTCATACACAAAGCAAGATAGTAGAAGATAAGGTTAGAGAAGAGAGAGAGCAGAGGATATAGAAACAAAGAAATCTCCAAAATCAAGCAAAGAGAAGTTTCTGTGTAAATGGTGTAGAACCATATCCAATTTTATAGCATAAGTGGTAATAATACTAATATACAAAAAAATAAAATGGAAAATAGTGAATAAAGAAAAGGGTGATGTTGATAAATTACCTTGTGGTGAGAGCAAGGTAGAGATGCAAGAGAAGAGAAAATTAGAGAGATAAAAAGTAGAGACAATGAACAAGGGTTTGAGTAAGAAAGTTAAATAAGAATATGCTAACATCTTATATTATTACATTTATAATAATAATAATGATAATAATAATATTAATAATAACATGAGGGTAGGAAAGAAACTACCAAATGGCATAATAATAATGATATAATAATAAGAATAATTTAAATTTTGATTTTATTTATCAAATGTCCAATTGCATAAGTTTCTTCTATGTGGATGGATAGGTAGATAAGACGTTTTGATTTTTTTTTGGATATTTTTATGGTTGGTTTAGCGTAATTTTTTAATTTTGAGATTTCTTTTCTCTCTAAAGATAGAATAATAAATATGCATTAATTAAGTATATAAAGTTATTTAATTAAGTATAACCATATTGAATTAAGTTATTACTACTACTAGTTTTCGAGGTTCAAAGTTTAATACGGTCAAGAAATGTGACTAGAAACATTGAAATCAATGAATGTTTAAGGGGGAAGTGGTGAAAACTTGATACAAACATGTTGATAATCCAAGAAAAAGAAAAAGAGATTATGAATAAATAAGCATTGGATGTCTTAGTTTATGCCGTTAAGATATCGCTATCTATTGGTCCATTTCATACCCTCAACGTACAATTTTATCACGTTATAATCATCAAGGTTACCGACAATTCCTTGTTTAAAATTTTACCCATGTTTATTGTCCATCAATTATTTATCTTTGTTTTTTATTGATAATGTAAATGAGTTTAACTATTTGAGAATAAGTCCATTTCAACATTTTAAATGATATTTCATCTGTCTTAAAAAATATAAGAGAAAAATAAAAAATAATTATTTGACTTTTAGTTTTCCAGAAATAAAGTGCTTAGAAATATGTGAAAATAATTATTATTGGTGGTTGGTTATAGAAAAGATGAGAGAGGATGTAAATTAAATGCATTTTGTATTTAATTTTATCTTGAAAGAGATGAAAATGATTTGTTTCTCTTATATTTTGAGACAAGAAAAATTTATTTTTTTTCTTCTATATTTTGGGACGGATGAAGTACTTGTTTATTTAATTTAATAAATAAATTTAAAATTAAGGGTATGTATAAGTAGTTGTTATGTATTGGAACTAAAAATAAGTGTAGATCGAGCAGGCTTGAGTTTCGATGTAGTGGAATGAATTTTTGATATGGTGGAACATGAGTGGATCTGTAAGGTTATTACTCAAACGACCACATTAGTGAATAAATGAGAAAGTAGTTTGGATGTGTAAATGAGAGAATATTTGAAATGACGTGTGTTGGACTTTATATAGTATAGACCATTATAGTCGTCCCCACGTGATATGGCACCTTAAGATGGTGGGTCGTTCGATTATATCCGACTGTGATGAGCGTTCTAAGTCATTAATGTCTTGGTGTGCATGTTCATGGATTAAGCCTCATCGTGATTGGACTTTACCGCCATATGAACTGCAGTCATTCTAGAATAATTGCCTCCAAAGTTTGTCATTGCGTAGGAATGGAGAGACTTTTCAAAGTACCTAGTCGTTGTTCGACCGTGGACCTCATGACAAATTTCTAACTTATAGAAGTTGAAATGTTTAGAGATTGGGAGCATGTAACCTTGGGTATGCATACATTAAATATGAGTCTTGTCACTGAAATATTTCGCATGGATATTCTGCCATATGGCCCTAGACTCCCAAGGTAGAGGCGCTTTAGGGTGCTCAAGCGCACTTCAACGTTGTTGATTTTCGCCTAGCTATCTTCCTTTGTTCTACATTGTTCATTCGCCTCACTCGTTACGTTATATAAAGACAATTTATCTTCTCATGTTACATTTGCCTTTTGTGCAAACTGCCTTTTTTTCAACTCTGATAATCCTTCAATGAACTCTAATGACGATATTTTCTGCCTATTTGTCTTTCCTTTTCAAATTTCACAACTTCTTTGGTTCCTCAGTTTTGAGGGAAACTTTAGCTTCGCATATTAAATCTTTTCACGTACCATTTTTCTCCCTCTTGTTTATTGTAGTCATTTCATACTCTTTGTTTTAGAAATATCTAATCTAGGATATGGACTTGGAAATATTATAAACATACCCAATAATGGTGATATAAGTGACACTTCATCTCGCACATGGGTGGTAGATCTAAAAGTTTAGGGTATTACTCTTTTGACAGGTACTCGCCATTTGGCCAACCTCATAGTCCTTAATGACAACTTTGAGTCTAGGGGGGGTTTCATTGGAAGTGGTAGTGGACCCATGAATCCTTCTCTCATTGAAACTACAAATAGCCACATAGGAGGAGTTAGAGAGGTAAACTTTGATTTTCTCCGTGGTGGAGAGGCTGGTCTTAGTTATCCTCTTGTGTGTTACCTATGAGGATCTTCTTGAAGCATATTGGGATGATATAAGGCTTGCTATTTCATTATAATTTGTAAGTTTTTGTATGTTCGAGAACCCAACAGTAAGGAAGTTAGGGAGCATCTTGGTTTTTTGGGCCATTTCAAAACTTATTATGGAAATTTTCTTTTTTTTGAAAGTGGAGAGGAGACGGTTTGAAAGAACCGATAAGACCTTAACTTGTCTGTTGATGTCAGTTAGTATTTTTGGGTAGATATAGAAGTGGTGGGGAAATCTTCTGCCTTCGGTAGTCTCCAAATTTTAGAGGACACCCATCATGGTGTAAGGTCATCCTCTAACTGGTATGTATCTCCTATTGAACATGGCAAAAAATTGTGTAGGATCATAGAAAATAGTTCAATGCCTTCTCATGAGTGTTTTTTCTCTAGGTCGAGAATTAGGCCCCCTTCTACAATTTTGAAGTGGATGTATTGAACGATTACATAATCACTCAATCCCAATTGTATTAGTTCCATATTTTTATGGTTGGATAAATTTTGGTTAGGCGTGTTTCTAAACATAGTTCTCTGTTGTTGTTGAGTAAGATTTTGCAGAACATTTATCAACTGTCATAACAGTTTTACTGTTATGTGTTTTCAATCAGATGTCGAAGGTAGATGTCACGACATCTTAATCAGGTACTACAATATAATAGGCATTGGTTTTTTAAATATTGACAAATTTAATTTGATTCTAGAATATCTCTTTTGGATATGTTTCAATAAATTTTGCAGGTCAAGAAGATTTTATCTGGAACAAGGTTTTATATCTCAAATTATGCATTGGTTGCTAAGTTGGGCCTTGAGACAATTTAGGAAGCTTTGTATTGGTTGTTCCAAGATTTAAGCAGATTTTGCTGCACAAAAGATATAACTCTCAGCTTGTGGATCAAGAAATATCTGATGGAGATTTCAAAACCCATGGATAGAAGAAGTGTATTTAAAAAAGACCTAACCTAATGTAATTTAAGTTTTCAACAATTGTAAAATTAGGGGAAGCATAAATCTTAGGTTTTGAGAGTCTCTTGTGTATTGTGTAGTTTAAGTCACCTTTGTATCTTTTGATACTTGTGGTTGACATTATGTTCTCACTCATAAGCCTTTAGGCGATGCGTTGAGTATTGTTCTTGGATGAAGCTTTTAAGCAAATTCAAGTATTGTTCTTGGTCAAGAGTTTTCGTTAAGTTTTGTAATGGAAGTATGATCTTCTACTAGTAACGGAAGTATGATCTTCTCATTGAGTTAGACTCAATACAGTTACGGGGATTGGGACTGTTAGATATCACTGAGGTGATTTAGGAAGTGAAATATAAATTTCTCGTATTTAGGGAGGACCTAGGTAGAAGTTGCATTGTGTAGGTATTAGGCGAGAAGTTGTAAACGGAGGAGTTTAGCTTTAAACTAATACTTCTTATAGTGGACTTCCTTCCTGGCTTGGTATCCCCCAGATGTAGGTGAGTTTGCACCAAACTGTGTTAACAACTTTGTGTGTTATTTATCATTCTGCAGTTTGAGTTTCAGTATTCATTGATAACTTAATGATTATGTTCAAGATGTTAAATCAGATGTTGTAACATCTATCTTGACATTATTCTGATGGTTAAAATTTAGTATTACCATGTGTTGCTTGTACCAGAGAAATTTCAATTGGTATCAAAGCGGATACCCTTGTTTATTGTGTGAGCTTCAGGGAGTAATTTTTGGGGTACTATTGTTCCTTTTGGAAGACTGGAATTATTGGATTCTAGTTATCAATGGACAATAGATTTTAAAGAATTATCAGGGTAGGAGAATCCTGATTCTGAAGTGATTGAAGAGTAGAGCATGAGTTGTCTCTATGTAACTTTGGAGTTGTCAATATCATAATCAATGGAATTGATAAGTTTCTTTTTCAGACTCATTATCACTGGTAGCCAAAGATATTTAGGAAATTCTCAAGTCCACTCATAAAGGAATATTAGTATTTGGTTTTCAGACGAAAGACTGATCAAGAAGAAGATACTCCGGTCTCTATTCAAGGGATTTGACATGGAAGTTACAATTATTGAAGAAAACAAGAGCATGGCTTTTGTTTCAAACTCCGTAGAAGCTCATTTCAGTTTTCTGATGATTGATTTCTTACTAATTTTGTGTTCCTTGGAAGGAAATCCAATCAGGAGTTGAAGAAATTTGACAGTATGTCGTGATCTCATGTCATAACATATGTGCTTACT